TTTTTTTGAGATTATATATCAACTGAAGAATCAATGTATATCAGAGTAAGTTGTACAAATAATTACAGAGAGTTTAAGGTTACACTGAATAGAGGAAATGTTGAGCGTTTTATCCTTCCATTGATAACTCTTGGACAGCATGCTAAGCACGAGATTTTACGTTTGCCTACAAAGACCAACGGACAAGAGGGTAACAGCTGATAAAGGGATGCTTTTTAATCAAATGAATGTAACTAATGCAGCTTTCTTTAAAATAAAGTCTTAAAAAATTAGAAAGAATAGTTCCTACTTGTAGTGAAACATGAACCTTCTTTGAATTCAAGTTTATGAAATAATTGATCGGCTCTCATATCTTTTTCTTCATAGATTGACATTAGTAGAAGAGGGAAATCAGCATGAGACATGATTTGACAGAAGTTGAAAAATATATGAAACACTGAGATCTAACTCAGTAGCAGAATGATACAATGTTGCCGTCGGAATGTGGATGCTGATTAGGTCATGGGTCTGCGCTTCATAGTAGCTTAAACAGTTATTCAATACTTTCAAGTTCTCAGTGGTCCTACAGCTGATCTAAATCTGTAATGAATGAATACTTTCAAGTCAATTAATTATCTTGGAAATTTTACAAATGAGGTATTTTAGACTGAATCGTTCAAAGTGAAGCAAATACTTCACACCAATTAAAGATTACAACAGTGACGATAACTATTAAGTTCACTATGTTTTATTTCGTGCTAACCATATACAGAAATACCATCTGTGGATTGTACACATTAATGAACTTTATTCTCTCCTTAATGAATCGTTTACTATCTGATGAGTAGCTTATGTTTACTTCGTTGTAAATACATTTTTTAAAAAGCAAGTAACACTTTATTTCATTGTAATATATGCAGATCTGATTCAGTTCACTATTGGTTCTGTTTCCGAACTACCGCTAATTCCTTGAATGTAGTAAGTAAATGAAGTAAATAAAGTTAGTAAATACGCTTTCATGGATATGCGTTTGCACGACATAAATTCGTTGCAATAGGATTGACTTAGGACTTTAACAAGTCGCATAAAAAAGCGAAGGTAGACAGTCTTTTGCAAACTGTCTGCATTCATTAAAGATCACACTCAGCACTTGATGGCTTCAAATAACACCGTAGTAAACCTGATCTGTAGAATTCCCATCAAGTCTGAGTATTACACAATAACCTATCGGTTACCATCGATAGACCTGTCAGCATTCTTATATATAAAGTTGCTTATTTTGTTCTGGAAGTCGTCGATAAATGATAAAAAATTATTACGACAAATAGACGTTATCAAAGTATTCAGGTTAACCTATAGTACTGTTTATAAATATCAGTGCAATCTGAATATCAAATGGATTTTCAAGTGACTGAATATCACTACTGAACTTATTTAAACGGTTCCAGATCACTAGGTTTGTTTTACCTCTCTAGCCGGGCTGCAAACAAACAAATAGACTGACAATAATAATGGATAGTAGCTAACGGGGGAATCTGAGATGTGCATTTTGTCCCATCTGGGACTCTCAGCTGGATGTACCTGTCTCCTAATTAGTGTTGTTCCCACTACGACTATACAAGTAGACTGTTAATCGAATTTTTCTTATTTGAATTAAGGTATGCAGATTTTAAACGGAAAAACAAATACCTGAATGAAAGGTAATGTTTACTCGGTTATCCGACTATTTTTTTATTTTCTGCACACTTCATGAGTACATCGGAGAGTAATCAATTCACTGTGTTAATCATAGCAACTAGGTCAAAACAATAGCATAAACGGTTATGAAATTAAAGTTTCATATTTTTCAGTCTGGTTGTAACTGGATCATTTTCATTTGGATTCAGATTTCATATCTGGTATAGCCTTGTTGTACGCATTTATGAGTGGACATGTGAACAGTAACCTTAGGATTTACCCACCCTTGAGAACCACTCGGTTCCTTGAAGTGAGAAAGGAGCAGTAAAAATGATAAAAGCTTGTCAAGTCGAACATATGCAAAAGGTAACGGTTTATATGTGTTTTCAAAACTCTTGATATGTTCTACACCTTTCTAGAAGGACATTTAGCCAGGCTGAAACTCAAGAATGGTTACGTGTTCTTCACGGATTTTCAGCGTGTTGTGATTGGTTGTCAAAGCTCTTAGGGAATCCTAGGCTTTTGTTAGGAATCTAGAGGATATTGCCTCACTACATAACAATATCCTAAGAAAATACACCAGGACAAGTAGTCAACAAATGAGGGGACTTAAATTCCCACTTTTCTGGACTGAATGCAATAAACGAAACCAAGCAACTGTTCTCAGAAATCCCTTTTTATGTACTACTAGTTAATACATAATATCACCATACTCATAACCTGCAGTTTTATCTAAGAATCACCAACTATCAAAAAGTTTGATGAATAACTGAACTATAGTGATTCTTTCATCAGTCTGAGGTTGAGATGAAGCTTTAACAGATAGTACGTAGCAAGTCACTTCTAGATAATCTGTTGCGATTCTTATCTTATTGTTTACAGAGAAACAAAAGCGAATCCACAGAAAGATGCAAAACACGAAAATTAAAGGACATATGACAAAGAATTAGATCGATGATTGCTTCTACAATAATCTGTACGCACGTGTATTGTGAATCTTATATCTAGTTCACAACCTAGATACATCCTACCTAAGATCAGTTCATCATTTCAAAGATTGTTTATAGTTTTATAGTTCGGTTTGCATAAATTTTAGGTGATAGAGATTTAAGCCAGAAATTCGTGTTTTTGTTCCACGTTTTCCCCTTACGCACGTAGATTTCAGTTCAATAACATTTTATACCATCAAATAGATTAGGTTACCACATCGTTGACCATTAGGCTCATACCCTAACAACATCCTTGGGAAGTTTAGAATAAACAGAAGATAACTAACTCAGTCACCAAGATGCTCCTACTGATATGGACGTACTCCATATAAGGCTAAATAAATATAAGATTTTCATATACGTGAAAGTGCCTGTTTACTGCTGTTCTCCTCATAATTAACATTTTAACGAAAATGATCCCTGGGTGGTCATGGGTGAACACTTCTGAGGAGTCCCATACCAGGATGGAACAGCTGTCCAGTGCTCCTGGGTTTCCAATGTTCCTTCAAGTGATATTAGTCTATGATGAATTCCAACCTGAAACCAATTGATAAATCTCCACAAGCCTCCAAATTGAAAATGAAATGCTTTTGAAACTGATTGTCCCTCCATCCTATGCATCAAACGGATGTGTTTTCATTTATATAAGGTGTATTATATGTATATAAATAGTTAGGTTGGAACTTTTGAATCCGAAATTCACGATGAATTTCATAACTTTCAAGTTTTTTCGTTTAAGCCCTCGCCTTTTCTGGACATTACATTCCATTTCTTTAGTCAGTTTGCTAGGGGAAAAAGCAGGTGATATTTTGATTTACACATTTGAGAGTTGTTCAGTGTTTGCTGCGCTTTTCCATTTTGTCGTGGACTTTCACCATCAGGCTTGGTGACGTCCTCAGGGATAACTTCAATAGTCTCATTAAGGTCAGAGGACACCAAACCAGCATAATCTACCTCATTCTGGACTACAAATCTTATCCATCATTTCAAACTCTTGTGAATACAACACGCTTCTGTGTATTGGGAAGTGGAAAGCCTTCTTCGATAGCAAAAATTCCATCCGAGCTCAGCTTTCATTTCTGCATGAATGTTTACTGCAGATCATCTTGCACTTCGTTATAAAGTTAATGCTGAGAATGTCACCAAGTCTGGTGATGGAAAATCCACGACAAAATACCAAAACTCAGAGAACACCTAACCACCATCATGTTCATCACGATCTACAAATCTTTTCCATCGCCTTTGGATATATTATTTTTGCAAAGTAAGAGCAACAAACATGCATATGTGGAAGATTTAGAGTACACAAATTAATTCGATGCATTCCCTAATGTTCGTTGTTCTTGCTTTGCAAATTATGTTTAGTGCGAGACTACACATACACTTGCATCAACAGAAATACAATTCTAGTGTAAAAACTGTTTTTTTTAATGTATATAGACACATGGCAAATAAAATATTTCAAGTATATATATGCGCATAGTACATCTTTTAAACTTGGTTTTCATTGGTAACATCACAATGACAATATACAGATAACGGTCGACACTACCTAGCCTACCTGTTCATTCGTAAATTGGTAGTATAAAAAATCCACTCCCCCTCCCCATCCTAGCATCTACAGATCGATATATATTAAGGTTTTTTATTACAAGGGAAGTCAATTCCTATCCCCATACATTCACATGACTTCAGTAGGCGTTGATCCTTAATATGTTCAGAGACACAAGTATGTCCTACTTGTATGTATTGCGACTCAAAACTGCTTAGAGCGAAGGGAATTTACGAAGACGTTGACGCAGTTGTTAACATTAGGTGTGGCTGACCAATAATAGGAAAGAGCTGTCTCAATTAACAGCCACTTTTATTTTTCAGTTTACCAATCGAATCACAACTTTTTGTTAGTGTGTCTAATGGAAGGGTGAGAAGTGAGTGAGACTGATAGCTAATAATATGTGATTGATTCAAGCCACCTACAGGTGTACACATATGAAGAAAAAAAGCTTATCCACACGTGCACAATATAATACAAGCATGCATTAAATCATTAGCACATTTTTAGAAGGATAAAAATGTCATACATATGTCAGCAATATGGAACAAGTTAGTCTGCCCCCCACTCTAGTTAAAGGCCTTGAACACCTGCATTCCTAATTGGATACTTACGCCTTACGCCTTTTTACGACAGTCACGCCAAATAGAGGTGCCTACTGCATAAACTATCAAACACTAGCGGTGCCTTCCAGTATTTTTCTACCCCAAAGATTTTCATCCTCCTCATTGTGTTTAGAACATTGTTTCCCAGCAAGTGACACTGACTACTATAAAAATCCATTCACATCTTTAAAAGGAACTGTTTCAACGCCATTAAAATTCAGAAGTTTCGCTCAGTAAGTATCATAGTCATTTTAATGTTCCATAAACAATGACTTTTAATCCTTCCACTGAACAGCTGATAAATTTATCTCATCATCATAATTCACATAACGAGAATCATAATTTCCGTATTAATTCGGTGCTTGGATTACCTAATTTGCTTGGTCTACAGTCAAATAATTCTCCGATATCTCATCCAAATCACCATAATTCCTACACAGATTCACAATCTAATTTATCAGCGATGAATACAGCAACAGAAAATCTATATGGACAACGAAGTCATCAGTCAATGAAATTTCCATTGCCTCCATGGTTAACAACTCCTGTATGGGAAAGAAAACATTGTCCAGATATGGTATCCGACTTTGGATCACTCCCTAACGGAATTGATAATCTGGTAGGCGTGAACAAAAACCAATATAGCATGTCCGCATTATCATCTGATATTACTTTTAAATCGGATCATATTCGTTCTGCTTATAAATCTCCTTCTAACACAAGTGCTTTGACTGAATCCACGATTGCATCAGTAGTAAGTGTGCCAAATAACACAACATTAGTATCATCAACCACAATAGGAGAAACAACTCCCAGATCGAATTCTCTATTATCCTCTGACCGCTTTCTAACATCACATTTAAAGAAACAAAACAATGAAAGTGTAAGTGATGATCACTTGACAAGTACATGTTTAAGTCATTCTTTTCATGACATTTCATCAGCAATCACCACTACTGCTAACAGTAATATCACTTTCACCAATACATCTACTGCACCAAGCGTTACTTCCACTCCTACTCCCACTACTACTATTACTACATCTCCTAGTATGAGTGATTTTCAAAGTATGAAAATGAATTATTCTCGATCAGCTATGGCTATGGCAGCGATGGCTGCAGCTGCACTGGCTACAACTAACTTCAAAATACCATCAGCAACATCTTCGTATAATCAAACACCTAGTGAATTGAATATCGGTAATGCTAATAGCATTATTGACAATAATAGTAGTAATAATATACCAGATATTAGTTCACTTGTGAGTGCCATAGCTGCAGCAGCTTCTGCGATGGGATCACATATATTATTCAATCATAACAATGACAATAATCACCATAATATCTCTCCTACTACGAATACTACTATTACAAATGACAGTAAGATTGTCAATGACTGGAAAGCAGACTCATCACAAGTGTTAAACGAACAAGGGATGTATGAAAGCAGAAATACATCGACATCATCATTACTGACTGACTCTAGACCATGCCCATCTTCATTAATGTTACAAACAAATTTTGATGCTCAACTAGGAGTGGGTTCATCAAATTTATCATCACCAGAATCAAGTGGGATCAGACCAGAAGTTGAACTAGTCGACAAACCACTATGGGACAAATTTCATTGTCATGGTACTGAAATGGTGATTACTAAAAGTGGAAGGTAAGCAGTTACTTTTAAATTAAACTTTAATGATTAGTTTAGTTTATGTGAATAAATCTGTATCTACCGATGAGTATGCCTAAGTAGACAAGCAGAACTTTGAACTCAAGCAACCATTTTCTGGAGAGTAATCAATGTGATATCCTGGCGAGACCAAATGACTTGGTATTTCATTGCGCCATTCTTCATGTTCAATAAAATGATAAGGCAAATTAGCTAGGCCTTGTAATTTGGCTGGTAAAGCGCCAGACCAGTAATCTACGGTCTTCTAGTTTGAATCTTACTTCAACCCAGATTCCCATCATCCAGTATCAGCAGTACCAGTCTTTCAGGCCACTGCTATTTCAGATAGTCTTGGGAATAGCTTTTAGCAATCGCTTTTGATAACTTACAGGATCTGATTGAGTATAGTCATATTAACGTAGGCAACTCAGACTATCCTTTAGGGGTTTTGGGAGTAGTGTAATGTGTTAGTTTACGTACTCTAATGTTGCTTCCAAATCTTATATATGCTTTGTGAAGCGTAAATCCTTGGTATATTGAGATTATTGAAGGCAGAAAAACCAAAGGTTATTCAAGTGGAATTTTTAACTTATGTAAGTAAAGGAAACTTTTTAGATTAACACTTGGGTAGTGGGTTCGAACCTATCACAGTTAGTTTTTAGAATAAAGGTACTGCAACTAAGTTAGGCGTCGCTGTGATCTCTTTAAAAATTGATAGACGAAGCGTAGAGAAAAATGCTAGGTGACCGTATTTGTTACAGAGTGAATTGCAGTTTGTATTTGTTATTAAGCTTTAACATGCATAACTTCTCCCGAGATCTAGTCATGATATACATTATACTACGAAGAAATATTCAGGGTGTTAACCTCAAACTCTCAACAACTGAAACCAGAATATAGTTTACCACAGAAACGTATCATTTCATTGAGTGGCCACGATGCAAAACGTGGTCGGTGGACTTCTATCAGCGTTAAGCACTAAGAACTAGACAGATATATCTTTTATCCACTCGTGAACGATTTGTGTCCACAACATAGTCATGCAGAGAGTTAGATATAGCATGAATGGGTTAGTGGTTAAGTTTTTAACATTAGTATCGAGCAGAACATATGTGAACATCCAAAGGGTCATCAACTTTCTCAAGGTTTGGGATATGCCTCACTGATGAGTGCCAACAAACCTGAGACCTACCTTTACGGTTTCATGCCGATGGATTTCCCAAATATAACACCAAAGAATACATTCATCCATGTACACGCGTAAACACATTCATAGACTCATCACTGACGATACTTGATACAGAAGGATTAGTAACTACTGACAGTAAACGGCTTCATCGAAGTACAAGCTGCTTAGTATTGATACGTTTAAAAAATAAAATCGTTTCCTAAAGGTTTCATAGTTATACTACCACTGATAACTCAAATATCTTTTGGTAAAGTATTAAAGGGCTCTTCAATAATGTGAGAAAACTGTGACTTACTGCTATTTTCTAAATGACACCAAATTATGAAGTTCAAAGCTAGACTTTAAGTTGTTACAACCATTTCATTTGTAGTTCGACCCAGTACAGTAATGGGGAATTGCAAGGATCAATAAACAACAACTGATACCTGTTGCGCAAGAGGTAGCTGTCGTGTCTCAGTAGTTTATTGGACAGCACTTTGGCTTTTGAAGCCATGGGCACTGAGTTTGAACCTCAGTGGGTACACTATCGCATCCGGTTGATGAGTCCCGAAAAGGACGAAACGCAAGTCTTGGATTCCATTGCTAGCCATCAATTAAACTATTTTCATTTGTAGTCCAAATGAAAAACAAAATAGTAATAACAGAGTTAAATTAATCATTATTAGATTTAAAAGACTTACGACATCTTAAGCTAATGGTATACTCCGGTTGTAACTAGAGACTTGTTATTCAAATCAGGATGTGTTTCTTCCAGTATCAGCCAATTAACTTTCTATTGGCTAGTCTTATTGAAACAGCGAAAACTAATACCTCCCAACATTTATTGCTGGGGATTTATACTAACAAATAACGGGAAAACAGTAAATTTAGCACTGGAATGGAATACCAGAAAATGTTAAAGACCACAATAGGTGATCTAGATTGTAAGATTTTCGATGGAAACCCTAGTGAGATTACAAGGAAGCAATTGTAAAACCCACTATCATTATTAAAAAAAGTAAATATTTATCAGGCAGTTTGTAAAAAATACACAAATTATTATCACTCAGCAAGAGTATGTGGATTATCTTTGCCATATTTATTTCACATACACCGCTGTTTCAGTTGGTGCCATTTGTACGAAATCCATTTAGTGGATTTTATGATGATTTCGTCTTGGTTATCACACACTTGTGAGGTGACATGCCTTCAAATCTTGAAAATAACTTTACTGAATTCTCATTTTAAATTGAACAGTTGCACAACTAAGTAGACTCAATTTTCTGTAGAACATCTTAAAACAGTTATAAAATATCCCATTATGTCAATCTTTCATTTGTTGAATGGGTAAATGAATGGATTAATGGGTAGGTCAAGAATTAAACAAAAATCAAATCATAGCTATGTTTTGAAGTGCTCCGAGAATGTGCCTAATTCCCAAAGTAGTCGATAATTTGTTGGTGTTACTGGATGAGATCGTGACCTCAGAATGCGAAATTGGGTATAACTATATTACAATTCTGAATGGTTGACTTTCAAATAAGCTACTTCCTATCACTTGATACTTATAATAACACACTGCATTACGTCATAGTTTAACTAATGAAGTACTGCTTAACTCAAGTTTATCCAACACCTGTCAGTGAAAACTGTATTTGGTTTCGACTATCCCTTGATGATTCAATTAATCTATGGTAACCAAATGAAAATGAGTTATTTTTGCTTCAGTAATTGATGCTTTTTATGCTTCACTTTTGTTTTCTCGGTAACTAATCACTTCATACAAATTATTTCTCAGGGAGCAAACAGTATTCAGCTTCAGTCTTCTAACAAATCAGTGTCTATATTCTGCAATCGTAACTGTACCAAAGATAAATTGGATCGGAGAGTACAGACTATTAACAGTTATTTGATCCTTAACTTGAATAGAGAGCATGCTCCTGAGCAAGGTTCTCTGTTAGAAGTATTTCAGTGGTATTTATCCTCTCATTCCAGTCAATTATTTAATGCATCAAATCTCGTGAAACATGAGTAATTTAAGTTTTAGGACTCATTAAAATTTGTCAACTCATACTGAAAAGTCGTAACTACATTCTCATGCATGACTACTAATCTCTACACTTGATAGTCGACATATTAACTGCTGTCTACGACAAGGAGAGAGATGGGATATATTAAAACGTCACTCAGAAGAAGTACACTAAATTGCTAAATATTTTATGAAACAATACAGATTTCTACCTGATTTGAAGGATTGTGGAGAAATTGATTGATTTGAAATGAGTTTTTATCATGAACTGACCTTAGCCATGAATTGGAAGAAGTTGGAAAGTGTGAGTCATTAGAATCCTACGTAGTAGTTGAACTGTCACTTTTCACAGCAAGACCTAACAGTTCTAAGACTGATCCCATATACAGTAGTGGTGGGGAGCTTCTGATGAATCCCTAACCGGAAAGAAACAGTTATTGTAGTACTCAGCGGTTTTCCGGTTGATATCAATGTGTGACGGAAACTGTTTTGAAATCAATCAATTTCCTACGAACTTACAAGGTGAATGAAACACCAGTGACTTGATTTGAGATGTACTTCTAAAGCATCTGGTGTGAAGTCATCTGTAAGATGAATCAAGTTGTCTGGTTGCTGAATACTACAAAGTTCTTTTTGACAAACAGAAATACTACAATCCCATCAAAATATCTTTTCTATTCAATGTTGAACTGAGTTTTATTCAATATGTGAATTAATTTCTTGAATTATCAGCAAATGATTTTCTTACCACATTGATATTTGTGTTTATCTATATCTAGTAGTTGATTCACAGCTTTTTGACATTCACATACTGAATATTATTATCATCATCACGATGGTGATAAGTTATCTTAAAATAAATATTCTGATATATTTATTTATCTAGATCAAATTACTTATGTCATGTGAATAGAAATGTTGTAATTGACTTTGGTAATTTGTATGTTATATTAAGCTGAAGATAATTTGATCATCATTGATCAATATAAGTTGCAGACTGACTTAGTTTGTAACAGGGCTAGCTGTTTTATCTCAATAGAAATATTTGATTGACTTTAAAACCCGTCTTAGCAATTGCTGAGATAACTAATCAAGTTTCGGTATTCCGGCTAGACAGGTAGTCTTTCATCAAATAAGTTGAAGTAATTGGTTATTTCAGCAGTTCCAAGGGTGGTTTTTAAAGTCACCCCTTTTTTCATGACACTAAATAGCTACTTTTTCTGTTATTATTGATTATGGACTATCCATTTTCTAGACCAGTATTTTATCCTAGAAAACTAAAAAAGCAGTTTGAAAAGTATTAGTCTCGATCACAAACACTGAGGAGTCCCATACTGAAAAGAAACAGTTGTTAAGTGCTCTCAGGTTTTCAGTAGTTCTCCATTTTGTTTATACCAATCAATCAACTAATCCACATAAACCTGCAAATCGATTAAGGAAATAGGAATATTAAACAAAGGTCAAAGAAGATCATAGTTACCTTTAGTTTATGACTCTTTGTAGGCTCAATTTGAGTGAAACGATAATGCGTAAGAGTCAAATCAAATCAACACATGGATGTAAAGTTGTTAGATTATGCAACGTAATCTACACTTTGTTTGTGAAGATTGTAAAAATTTTCTACTGACGTTAGTAACCTAAAGAAATAAAACATTTACACTTTGCAGTCTTATTTTGTTGTCTTAATTGCATGTAAAAGAGATAAGTGTATTGACCAATTAATCAGATGCCTAATTTTATTCATTTCGCACTGATTTACAACAACGCTGAAATGGACTGTCTGAGCAAAAACTGAGTCAT